CACCTATATCTTGAAGTGTTTTACATATTTTGTCTTCCAGTAACTATTTTAATGTTTCTGTTTTAATGTTTAGATCTTTGACCTATTTTCACTTTAGTATATGGTGAGAGATAAGGGTCTAGTTTCAGTCTTCTGAAACAGATAACCAGTTTCCCAGCACCACTTGTTGAATAGGCTTTTAACCAACATAAGTTTTTATCCTTTTTGTCAAAAATCAAATAGCTGTATGTGTTTGTACCTCAATTCTGTTTCATTGATCCATGTATCTGGTTTTGTTCCAGTACCACACCATTTTATCACTATGGCTTTGTAGTATAGTTTGAAGTCAGGTATTACTATTCCTCCTGCTACTCCTCCTGCTCAAAGCTGCTTTTGCTACTTTGGGTCTTTTCTGACTCCATATGAATATTAGGATTCTAGGTTTTTTCTAGATCTGTAAAGTATGCAGTTGGTATTTGATTGGGACTCCACTGAATTCAGTATAGCAGTTTTGGGAGTATGGTCATCTTGAAAATATTGATTCTGCCTATCTAGGAGCAGGAAACATCTTTCCATTTCTGATATCCTCTTCAATCTTTTTTTTTTCAGAGTACTGTAGTTTTCTTTGTAGATATCTTTTACTTTCTGACTTCCTTGGAAAGAGAGAATTTGGTACCAGACAAGTGGGGTCATTACTGTGACTATACCTGACCATGTGGTTCAAGAGCCTTTGGAAATGGCTTGTGGGAAGTGTTTGGAAAGGTTTGGAGATGTTGCCTGAAAGAGTAGAGCTGGACTGCCTTCAGCTCTTCTGTATGGGAGATTCTAGTCAGAGCTCAGAAGACCAGAAGGCTGGTAGAAATCCTTCCGGTAAAGACTGGGTTTGGGAGGTTTCTGCTAGGAAGAAGGACTGCATTGGGTGCTGGACTCCAGACGATGTATGTTATGGCTTGGCAGAAAGTTTCTCTGCATTTTGCTTGTATACAGAGACTTCACCTGAGACTGAGATTAAAGGCAATGGACTAATTAATCTGGCAAAAGAAATTTCAAGGCAGTTGAATGTTGAGGCAATGGCATGGCTGTTGTTGGGAGCTTTCAGCCAGATTTATGTTGAGAATCAAGAGCAAAGAGCCCAGCAGGATGATTTAAAATGTTGTGAGTTTGGCCAGAAAGGAAGCTCCAGTAAAGCTGTGGACTGCAAAGACAGAGCTGAGGAGCTCTCCATTGCTGAGGAGGAACACGGAGAATAGAAAAGATGGCCTGAGGGCATCGCAAGAAGCCGCAAGTCTCCACCCTTTGCAGCCTCAGAACTGCAAAGGTGACAGACTTTGCTTGGAGGAGAAAGCCACAGAGCGCCAGGTTCCAGAATGGCGTTGGCATAGAGAACTCGTTCCTCAGAACTGGATTCAGAGTGCCAGAGATCCAGGCACTTGATCCCTACGGCCGAGAGAGGGGAAACCCTGGCTACTGCTCCAGGCGGCAGCAGACTTTGGCCTCACCCATGTAGCACTAGTTTTAGGTGCATACAGAATGCAGGAGTTCGGAGGTTAAAAAGGCTTCCACCTCCATTTCAGAAGGCCTGGGAGGCCAGGCAGTGTGTCCCTGAGAGGGCAGTGTGTGAAGCTGTGAGTGTGAAGCAAAATGTACAGTGGAGACCCCAGAAGTTTGGAAAAGCCAGGAACGTGAATTGTCTAAGGAAAGCTACAAGGAGGCAGCAAAGCAGGCCTAAGAGAGAAGCCATGGAAGCTGTACCCACCAGAAGTGCCATAGGGGTGGAGTCACTCAAGCCTTTAGGAGCTCACAATGTGCCACAAGTTGCTTCAGATGTTAGATGTGGAATTACAGGAATTAATGTTAGCCCTGCTGGATGTTTGACCTGCTTTGGTCCCAGTGCTTTGTATCCTTCTGTTTGTACCTTTTGGAATGGTAGTGCTTATTTCATGCCACTGAATGTTGGAAGTGTTTAACTGTTCATTTGTATAGGGGCTTGCAGCTGCGAGTTTGCCTTACATCTGGGAAGAGACTTGGTACTTGGACTTTTCAGCAATGCTGAAACTGTTAGGACTTTGGCAACTCTGGCAGATGGACTAAATGCCATTTTTATAAAGGGATGTGCATGAGTCTTTGGGCGGCCAGGGGTGGAATATTATGGTTTGTGTCTGCATGTCCCCCCAAGTCCTTATGCAGTCATGGGGTGGGCTTCTAGATTTATGATTGATCCATAATCCGGTGCTGGGATTATGGGTGTGAGCGCTACACCTACCTCTGGGGTGGGTAGTTTGCATATAATGTAAGGGAGGGAAAGAGGCTGTTTGCCACTGCTCCCCCTTTTGCTCTTGTTGCTTTGCTGTCTTCTGCTGCCATGAATGGTTACCCTCTGTCATGTGCCACTCTGCCTTGGAGCCAGCCAAATATGGACTGAAACCTCCAGCAACTGTGAGCTAAATAAACCTTTCCTTCCTTAATATTGGGCATCAGGAATTTTGTCCCAGCAACAAGAGAAAAGTAGCAAAGACTTTGGTATTTTATTTTCCTTGATGCTACTGTGAATAGCAGTTTTCATAATTTCCTTTTCATCTCTCTCATTGTTGATGTATACAAATGCTAATGATTTTTTGTGTTGATCTTGTATCCTGCGAAATTGCTGAAGTTTGAAGTTTTTTGGTGGAGTTCTTTCTGTCTTCTATGTAGAGTATTATGTAATCTGCATACAAAGATAATTTGGTTTTTTTTCTTTTTTTTAGATAGGGTATCACTAGGTAGTTCAGGCTGGCCCTGAAGCCTAGGCTGGCCTCAAACTCACAGCATTCCTTCTGCCTTATCCTCCTGAGTGCAAATAATGATAATTTGAATTCTTCCTTTCCTAAATGTGTAATTTTTATTTCTTTCTCTTGCCTAATTTCTCTGGCTAATATTTCAAATACTTTGTTGAATAGGTGATTTGTTTCTGATTTTAGGAGAGAGCTTTTAGTTTTTCCCCATTTATTGTGATGCTGCTTACTAGTTTGTCATATATAGCTTTTATCATATCCAAGTATGGCCCTTCTATACCTGTTTTCTTCAGGATTTTTATCATAAAGGAGTGCTGGATTTTTGTCAAAAGACTTTTTTGTATCTATTGATATAATCAAATGGTTTTTGACCTTGTTCATGTTTATGTGCTGTATTACATTTGTTGACTTATGTATGTTGAACCATCCTTGCATGTCTTGTTGATAATGTGCTGCATGTTTGTTTGTTTGTTCGTTTGTTTGAGATAGGGCCAAGCTATGTAGTGTAGGCTGGCCCTACTGAACTCACTTAGGCAACCCAAACTGGCCTCACACTCTCAGTAATCCTCTGACCTCAGCCTCCCAAGTGCTAGGATTATAGGCATGAGCCATCACCCTGGATCAAGTGCTGGATTCTATTTGCTAATATCTTGTTGAAGATTTTTGAACCTGTATTCATTAAGGAGATTTGCCTGTGGTTTTTTGTTTTTTTTTAACTTGGGTCTTTATCCAGTTTTGGGGTGATCAGTGAGATACTGGTGTCCATAAATGTGTTTGGGAGTGTTCCATCCCTTTCAATTTCTTTGAAGAGCTTGAGGAGTATTCGTGATACAGTGCTCTTAAAGGTTTTGCTGAATTCAACAGTGAATCCATCAGTTCCTGGGCTTCTTTGTTGGCAGCTTCTTTATTACTGTGTCAATTTCATTGCTTATTATTGGGTTGTTAAGTAAATTTATGTCTTCTTGGGTTGGTCTTGGTAGTTTGTATGTGTCTAGGAATTTGTCCATTTCTTCAAAATTTGCTGATTTATTGGAATGCAGTTTTTCAAAGTAATAACTATCTTCTTGATTTCAACAGTGTCTGTTGTGATTCCACCTTTTTCATTTCTAATTGCACTGATGCGAATCTTTTCCTGCTCTTTTTTGGTAAGTCTGCATAGAGACTGATCTATTTTATTCTTTCAGGGAATCTGCTCTTCCATTTGTTAATTTTTTTTACTGTTTTGAAGTCATAATTTCAATGATCTTCTCTCTCATCTTTATAATTTCCCTCCATCTTAGTTTGGGGCTGGTTTGTTGTTGTCTCTCAAGTATCTTAAAATTTCTCATCTTTTTGAGCTTGCTCTGTTTTTCTAATGTGAGCACTAATTGTGTGAATTTTCCTCTTAGAATTGCCTTCATATTTCCCCAGAGGTTTTGATAAGTTGTAATCTCTTTGTCATTAACTTCCAGAAATTTAAAATTTTCTTCTGTGACCTAATCGTTGTTTAGGAGAATGTTGCTGATTTTTCCAGGAGCTTATGCCTTTTCCAAAATTTCTTCTGCCATTGACTTCTATTTTTATTGTCTGGTGGTCTGATAGTATGTGTGAGGTTCAGTTCTTTCATATGTACTTAACCAGTCTTTGTGGACTAGCATGTGGTGTGTTTTGGAAAAAGTATCATGTGCTGCTGAAAAGAAAGTATATCCTGTTGTAGAGGGATGGAATACTTTGTATACATCTATGAAATCCTTATGTTTTAGGATATGATTCAGCTCTCATATTTTTCACTGGTTTTTTTGTTTAGTTGATCTATCTCTTTGTGAAAGTAAGGTGTTAAAATCTCTTCCTATGATTGTGTCAATGTTTATTTGATCTTTTCAGCAGTTTTTGTTTTATGAAGAAAGGTGCCCCAGTATTTGAAGAAAAAGAAATGAATGTGCAGGGAAAAAAATGAATGAATGAATACACAGACCAGTCAGAGAATAAACTGTGACACTAGTTAGGTTTTCTCTGAGGGTCTGCAAGGAACCTGGCCCAACCAACAGATAAGAAGCTATGTTAGGAAAAGTGGTGGGCAAAGTGTCAGCTTACCCAGGATGAGCACCAAGTGATTTTGGCTGTCACTTTTCCACCCTAGCCCTGGAATTTGGCTATACTCTAACAGAAACACTTTGCCTGTTTTCAGGAGAATTCTCCACTATCAGTGAGGCTGATTCTCCTGCTTAGGTTATTACAAAAAAAACTTTCAGAACAGGAGTGTTACGCCCTGTGGGGCTTGCAGGCCTTCAGGGTAGGTAGAGGATCACCCAAGCCACATGGACACAAGTGAGTTATGGGACATTTTCTTCTAATGTAATTGTAGCCCCTGCTTCCTAAGAACCAGCTCTGTGCTAGGTGCAACTTGTGGCTCCTCCTCCTAAGCTCCACAACCCCAGGACTCGGGGAGGTTTTCAAGCTCAGGCTCAGCCCTCACAGTTGCACGGCCCAGTCTCCTGGAGAGCAGCTCACAGGAAGGGTTAAAGCGCCACTTGGAAGTCAGACTGGGCTGCAGAGCCTGAGTCCACAGCTTCATAGCGGATTCCTTTGGGCAGGTTACTTAACTTCGTTAGGCCTCAAATGTCCTCTTCTGTAGAAATTGGCTTAATGATAACGCCTACCTCTGCCAGGCACAGTGATACACACCTGTGGTCATAGCTGCATAGGTGAGGCAGAAGGAACAAAAAGTCAAAGTCAGCCTGGGTAACTTAGCAAGACCCTGTCTCAAAATAAAAACACCTTAAAAGGGAGATGTAGCTCAGTGGTAGAGAGCCCCTGGGTTCCATCCCCAGCACTGGAGGTAAAAAAAAAAAAAAAAACCTTACCTCAAAAGAGGTTGTAGGAAGACTTGAAAGGGTCTCCCCCATAAAGATGTTCAACAGATGATAGTTACTAGGATTATCACATACACCACAAATACAATCAGTACCGTAGATTTGCTCCAACCTAAGAGAAAAGGCATGTATGTTTGTGGTATCAGTGTTACAAGAAGGAAAAACAAAGTCACTCTATTGACCTGTAATAGACTTGGTAGTTTACATATATGACTTTGACTCTTACATATATGACTTTATTCATTCCTCTTCGCCGTCTGTGAGGTGGTTAACATAATTCTCTTCTTCAGATGAAGACAGTGAAGCTCAACAGGATATACTTCTACAACAGGATATACTTTCTTTTCAGCAGCACGTGATACTTTTTCCAAAACACACCATGTGCTAGTCCACAAAGACTGGTTAGATAACTTGCTTGAAGTCACGCAGCTAATAAATTGTGGAGCTGAATTAGATTCCAGAATTGATTCCAAAACCAGCTTCTAAACTCTATGATTGCAATGCCCCACCTGAAGTAACTGGCTTTTTTAAAAAAATAGACTCCAAAAGTTGCTACCTCCAAATGTGTGTGCTGTCTTCTAAAGAAACCATTTTGAAAACTACCAGCTCAACCCGCCAGCCCATCCAGGCTGCCGTCATTCCTATTCTTCAGCCCTCTGAGCCACATACGAGCTTCAGGAGAAGATGGCTCCATTCCACTTTGTCCCACTCATCTTTAATCTAAAAAGATATTACTTAACTTGATTGTGCCTCTTGGTCCCTGGACTTTGATCTGAATGAATTTTGGCTGTTGCTAAAAATCAAATGCATCTTTAAAAGATAAATATTTCCCTCATCAAGATACTCCAAAGAATTAACCTCGGTGTCTAAAAAGAGATGATCCAGAGGGTTTCTAACAGCATCTTCAGGATAAGTGATTTATCTTCCGAGGAGATTGCTTTGAAGAGGAGACTCACGTGGGACGCATGCACTCTGCTATGTTTATTTAAAGCATACCTTAAATTTCCTTGCATAGACTCGCAAGTAACTCCCCTGCCACCCCAGACACTGAACTCCACGAAGGCAGGGGAAATTGCTGAGGTCACCAAGTCCTCTGGAACTGTGTCTTGCCTACACTTTTAAACTTTTACTCAGTGGATTAGAAACACAAGCAAAAACTTCCCTGAGGAAAAGGAATCCATCCAAACAGAGACACCCCGCACACCCGCACTGACACCTCTCTGTTCTGGAGTGCTGGGCCCAAAGCCAGCAATGGCAGTTAATGGTTAGAAAGACAGTTTGGGGCTCTGCAGAGACAGATTTGAACATTGAGCAGAGCATTTCCCATAGTAAGTCAGCAAAACCACACCACCCCCATTCATGCCACTGTCCCGAGCTTAACTTACAAGTTCTTCCACTTCCCAGAAGTCTCTTATGGCATCCGAGCCCAGACAGTGCTAGACAACTTTTGAAGAAGCTGTGAAGTTTCCAATGTGTTATAAATACGGCCTGACATTTGATAATGCCTCTATTGTCAGACACATGGGACTGCCATCCCATAAGCTTTTCTCACCCAACGCTTGAAGAATCAGAGGGCAGCAGCCCGAAGACGTTCACACAGGGCTCAGTCACTGCAGCAGGCCCTACTTAGAATGCGTCCTTGCTAATGTACTCAAAACACAACCTTTCTCTGTTTTGCCATCCCCCATAATTTTGTTCCTCAAGCTTTTTTGTTTTGTTTTGTTTTTGTTTTTGCTTTTTTGGTTGTTTTGTTTTGAGACAAGGTTTCACTATGTAGTCTGGCCTTAAACTTGCTAGGCAGCCCAGGCTACCTTTAAACTTCAAATCCTCTTACCTCAATCTCCCAAGTGCTGAGATTGCCGACATGTGCCACCACACCCAGCTTCTTTCAAGCTCTTGTCACTTTTGGATTTGCCCACTTCCTCCCAAAAGACCCCCTCACCAAGCTGTACATCCCTGAAATCACCCATAGGAGAAAAATCTTGTTATTGTCCAAGTAGGATGATCTTTACCTGCTTAGGTCTGGTTCACATTTGTCTTACTGATTAAATAGGAGAACTTTGATGAGTGTGGTAGGAAGTTATATTACTGTTTACCATTGCTGGACACTGTACCCAACACCCACAGCTTGAAGGGAAACTTTATGTGGCTCATGGTTTCACAAGATTCAGTCCATGCTTAGCTGGTGCCAAGGCAGGAACATCATGAGAAACGGATGCGGAGGTGCAAGGCTGCTCAGTTCACGGCAGCTGGAAAGCAGAGCAGGGGGTCAGCAGCACAGAGGGTTGGGAACTGACGTATCAGGGTGAACACTCAGCATGATAATGGTCCCCCACAAGATGCCCGCGTCTTTGTTCTAGGAGCTGTGGCTATGTTACATCACACGGCAAGGGGGAATGATAATTGTTAATCAGCACACTTTAGAATAGGAAAAGTACCCTGGATTATCCAGGCAGGCCAACAAGATCCTGCAGGACCTGCTGCTCCGGTCTTTGAAGAGGGAGGAAGTAAGCCATGACCCATGGACTTGGGCAGCTCTAGAAGCTGGAAAGGGCAAGGAAATCGGCTTTCTTCTAGAGCCTCCAAAACAGAAGGCCTTAAGCACTTCAGAACTGTAAGATAATAAGTTGATGTCACTTTAAACTACTAAACCTATGGTACTTTCTTATAGCAGCAAGTGAAACAAATACCGTTAAGACCTAAACCACCCGAAAACACAATGCACTGATATTTTTCTGCATATCAATTGTGAAAAAAATACTCTAATCTACAGAAAAGTTTAAATAAACAATTTTCCTTGCAACAAGATCTTAGATTGTGGACTCTGACACAGAGACCTGGGGGTCACAGTTTTACTGGGGAGGTGGTGGTCTCAGGTGAGAGAAGCCGGAACCTGCCAGAGATACTGTGCTGCGAAGCAGTTGTGTCTGAGGCTTTAGCTCATTCTGCACAACTGTGGAGCCGGCATGGGCCTGCAAAACTGTCTCACGTGGAGGCACAGAAGCTGAGATTTGCATCTATTGTATCCACTGTGAAAGGGAGTGTAACTCTGGGTAGGCATCTCCCCGGGGCAAAGAGCAGCGGCAGGTTCAGAAGGCAACTGCGAGCCATGGGCAGTTAGGGTCCCCTCAGCTACTAGAGGACTGATGGGTGGACCCTGAGAGGAAGGCTGGGCAGGCACTAGGCATTTGTGGCAAGCACTTGCTATTTCTGCAATATGTTCTGAGGCTAATGTATATCCCATTTTGTCTTGATATGACAGATAATAACAATTATTATTACTTTGGGGTGTTTTTTTTTCCCAGTGCTGGCGATTGAATCTCATGCATGCTTAGCCAAGTGCTCTACCACTGAGCCCCAGCCCCAGCCCCAGTTTAGTGTAACAGATACTACGCTAAGGACTTCGCATTCATTGTCTCTCTTCCTACCAAGCGTTAGTTCCATTTTACAGATGAGGACACTAAGGCTCAGAAACTCTGACTGGTAGTTGGTTCCTGGCTACCCAGCTAGTAACATAGCGGGGTCAGGAGTGAAGGCAGCCCACTCCATCCATAGCTCACTACAGAGCGTGTATACCGTCTCCTGTGGAAGAGAACTACCATCCTCAAATGTCAATCTGACACCCTAGATCCTTGGTCCTCAAAGAGAGATGAAGATTATATTTGGTAAACTCTGCTTCCTAAATAAGAAAGGGGACCTGAGACCAAGATATTAAACTAGGGCTGAAATGAAAAAGGGCTCCTGGTGGCCCAGAAAGTTTGAGTAGATCAGGTTTATACCATACCCTATAAATTAAATTTAATTACATTTTTCTGCCTGTGGTACACAGAGAATTGAGTCATAATTTTTACTTCAGCCTCAGTGTTCTCTTTCCTAATGGAAGCTCCTAGGGAAAAGGTGTCAGGACTTTCTCCCTTCCCTTGTACAGCCCCTCGCACTGTGTCAATCCAGGACAGCACATAATAAATGCCATTTGATGATTTCTTCCCTTATATTCGTGGCCTCAGACCAGTCTAACAGCCTACAGTGCAATCATTCACCTTAGCACTCTCCTTGCAGGCTGGGTCAAGAAAATATGGTGCTCTGGAAAATGCCCTAAAAGCTTTCTTCTTTAATAAGGATCCTGGTGTCCCGTGATGGATGCTATAAAATCCCCCACCGGCTGGTGTGTTCATGGCCGTGTGGGCCCATTAACAGCATCTGGTGTTCTGGTAACATACTTCATATCCGAAGTGCAAAAGCAAAAGCATTTATTATAAATAACACGAGGTGACCCTAGAGTAAACACAGCTGTGCCCTCCTGGTGTCTTGTCTGTGGCGCTCCCTCAGTAGATTAAAGAAATCCATGTTTTATGGGGCCATCACTTATTCTGTGTATACACACAAGACTGGTTTGCAGTGGACCTGCATGTTGCTGTGTATAAGGTTTCAGGCCCAGAAATTGTATGAAGCAGACGTGTTTTGCTAAAACACTTATTCTTACACATTCCGATATTTTTAAAAGGTGGTAAGAATTGATTTCTATTTGTTCCTAAATGATTTACACAACATTCTGGGCCCTGCCCACATTGTAGCTGCCCTTCAGTTTTTCAAAATTCCTCCCATTTCTGTCTCCCACCGGCCTTGCAGAGGAATAAGCATGCGGCTGTCTTGGGAAGGTTTGGGACTGGGCTCTGTCAGTCCCCAGCGGTGGGGGTTGGGCTCATTCCTTTAACCAAACCGCTGGCCACCAGAATGTTCGCTAGCTGCAGCTTTGCTCCAAGGTACCTCAGACTGTAGGCCTAACCTTATCCCCAGAGCTTGCCACGAAAGATCTCACTTTTATTGCTATTCTTACATAGTCTTTAGAAACAAAAAGACATCATTGTATTACAGCATTTTGGTTTTGGTAGTGATATACTTTCATTGACAAAATATAACAATTCTCAATCATTGAAAATACAAAATTTATCACACCAAAAAAAATTAAGTGCAGCTTATCATATGTATTTCCATTACATTAGGGTTACAGAGGAGTTCTGTGTACGAATAGCTCCAAGAAGAGTTTTTATATTTTATTTTCACATTGAAAACAAATCAGATTTGCCTCAGCCTCAAAAAGCACGTTGATGTAAAATTAAATGAGCACTGGCAGTGCACAGCACTTTTTTTCTAAGCAAGAGCTCTCACCCACTGAGCCTTAGTTTTCTCATCCTTAAATGGGAGAGAATGAGCCTTGCTTCCTGGAGTCTGCGCTGAGTTAGACAGGAGTGCGCAGATTAAGGGCAGAGGAGAACAGAGTAAGACCCATCCAGATGCTGGGAAAAGTTATATATATAAATATTATTTGACTTACATGTATAATATAAATATTAATAAAAAGAAATTTTGTTAACTATAAATCTAAAATCATAAAAAGGCCATATGTGTTATGTA